TAGGAGACCTTACTGTTCTAATGGCTTTTAACGCCCATCACAAATTTATTCACATGTTCTTATCTAAATTCTGTTCCTTAGCTTAAACAGCTCTTCATCTTTCTAGTGCTTTTTCTTTTCCTGTACGCATTTGTTGACAGCATTCCTCTTCCTTTCCCTGTTCATTTTACCAGTCTAAATAATTTAAACTCTTCTAGGATCCCTTCACACGATTCTCCTGGTGGTCCTCCTGGCTCTGCCTTGCAGGTCTCAAGGTCTTACTTCACTGACAGCACTTCACTGGTATTTGCACTGTATTGTTTGACTTTCCTTCATCATGCTGGCAGCTGGCAACAATCCTGAGGTTCTTACAAGTTTTCATTTCCAAAGTGCAAGCTCCTTCCTTGTAGCTGAATTTTTGTTGCTAGTCCCCAAAGGCAGTATCTTCCTTAAGTACTACATAAATAAATATGCTTAATATACTACATATTAAGCAACTACACACAGTGAGAGACATGCTATAACAGCTGAGCTGAACATTTAGGTTCGAGTCTCCAACTGAATGCTTGAATTCAGAAATTAGTCGTGCCCCATAATGAAGTCCCTCAAGAGATGTCTTTGCTAGGGATATTCAGATTATTCCTAGCATGTACTGGCAGCTCTTCACAAACAGACCCAGTCACTTGTGAATGTGCCCAATTGTTTCTAAAAAGTCAGATTCCTGCAGCATTAGAAATAGTTTTTGGAACAGCATTCCTTCACCATAGTAAAAAAACCTCAAACAGGTACAATTTTCCTGCAATGCATAATAAACAATTTTGTAACCACATAACGAAATGAGGTTTCCAGCGGATGACTGAAGTTGGCTTAACTATGGTAGTGGTCAAAAGAATTAGAGCAATAAGCCATGAATCTATTTTATTATCTTTCACAAATACCTTAAACCATCAACGTACTGAACTCTATTATTTTTTTATTTGGTAGGTAATAAGCAACAAATATATTACACTGGACAGTAGTATATCTTGCTGATGTACATACTATATCTCACCAATAGAGGCCAGATGGAAGATCAAACAATCCAATATAAGAGACAAATTTGTGTGATGAGTTGTTTATATATTTAGCTGACAATGAAACTAAAAAATGAGACTATTGTGGTCTATCTGCAGCTGCTTTCACTGTAGTGCAGGAAATTTGGATTGTTGAACCACAGGAAGATGTCATGAGTTGATCAAAACTGCAATAGATACTTGTGGAGTTTTTTCCCATTTTGTGATTTACGTAACTTGTGGCTATTGCAGAAAGCTTGGTAATTACTCTTTCACTCAGGCACTTGATCTAATTATAGCTACTAAATCAGAAAACTATTTCCCAAAAATGCAATCACATTTTCTTTTTCAGAACACTGCATACTTTCACATCAAAGCATCTCACTATGCATGGCAACATTTCAAACGTTTTATTAAATAAATATAGGAATTAATGCTGTAAAAGTTGCTTCTTCTATGCAAGCCAGACCACAGTCATCTCTAAACAGAAAGCCATTTTTTTTCACTTCCTCTGAGAAAGCAAGATAGAAAAGGATAATTTTAATATATAAACACAGCTCTAGAGTAACCTTCCAAGCCAGATTCATGTGTCTATCTTCTTACCTGATAATCTTTATTTTATTTTCTTGCCAATTTTTTATGACCTTTTACCGTTTACCCCTGGTTTGCAATTTCTACCTCTCCTCCTATCTCTGTAAAGAATGCAGATGGCAATGGAGGAACAGAAGTTCTTATAGTAGGAAGACATTATGGATTTGGAACTAGACATGGTGTCCATTTGGAGGGATGTCTTCACTGAAAGAGTCTCTCCAGACTTGGTGCACTGAAGGTGGACACACAAGACAGAACACATGGACAACTATAATTCATGAACCTTCCACATTTCCAGGCCCTTATACTTATATATACACTATATACAATGGTCCCAACTCTTCCCAACATTTATGCTAAAATTATCAATAGGCAAGAAGATTTCTTTGATACTCTTTTTCTTCCAGCCTGCATTGTGTGTGGTAGGAAGTGGTCAACCAAGAACACTAAAAAAACGCAGACACAGACTATGTTCTCACAGTCAGAACCATGTTGTAGTATGTGCAAGAAAGACAAGAATCTTCAAGACCGGTGTCTTACAACAGCTGTCACTTCAATGATCCCATCTGCAGCCTCCTCCAGGGAAGCATGTATTCCAATTGCTTGTTTGGATTTGGCTTTGTTTAAATTGTTCTATAGTACAAATGAGACATTTATTGCTTGTCTAACAACACTCTTGCTTTTTATTGCATTTTGTCTTCTTACTGTAATTTTGATTTTTGACACTTACTGCTGTCGAACTGCAGCAAAAATGGAAGCCACAGATGTGGAGAGGGAGAAATAAAGTTTTATTAAGTGCAAAAATGGAACAAAAAATGCAATATAAATCCCTGAAATGACCCATTACCTCAAACCAACTAACACGTGAATTCACTTATAAATTGACATATACCTGACCAGGCAAATCAACACAACTACAGTCTATAAAAGTCATATTAGCAGCTCCTTTTCTCTAGGGACTGGTAAAAAGAAAGCAGGCATTTCCAAGCCCCGATTAAAGTCAGTAATTCAGGATACAAGAGCAACAAGGACAACATCTGGTGTTGATATGAGGATGCATATCTTTAATCTCCCTTGTCTCTCTTTACCACAGCATGGGCAGTGATGATCAGCTATAGAGATGAAATTAATATGTCATGACACCAATCTGTGCAAAAATACTTGCCCCTTTACAGACACTGAGTAGTTCATTGTACTACATCTGAATGTCTGCCTTGCTGGCATTCAAACAACTCTGGAGTTAATGCCATTTAGCTTTCAACCTTCCTCATGTGAAGTCCTCTGGTATTCTGTAAAACCTCAGTGCAGTCAAATTCTGTATGGTCTCACAATCTTCAGGGTACAGCTTCATGAGGTATAGCATATACGCATATAGTATATGCACATAGTATATGCAGTCACATCATCTCTCCAAGCTGAGGTGAGAAGGCGTTCACGGCAAATTCAATCTCAGTTTATAGTAGCTGATTCTCATAGAGGGTAGGCTCAGTCCAGAGCTTTTAGCAAACCATGTGCACTATCCGTATTCATATGCGTAGTATAATGCATTTGACACTTTATGTTGTTAGGCAATACATTGATGACAGTATATGAAAAACTATGCAGCCGAGGAGCAAGTTTAACACCTCAATTAAGTACCAGCAAAGACACTAACATTTCTGTCAGCTGTTTGGCCAAGAAATTGATGCGCCCAGTATGTCCAATGGCATTTCTGAAGTAGGGGTAATCATTAGTCCTGCAGGAGAATGTTAAAACTGATCCATGATTACAAATCACAGGAAACACGGGTAGAGTAGAACTGAACCTTGAGAAAGATTTGGAAATACAAAGACACACATATCTACAGAGCAGAAATCCTCTTCAGTAAAAGCTTAAGCCAGAGAATGGCTTTTGCCTAAGGATCACATTTCAATAGCTCTTTAGTTGTCTAACAGAAAGAGGGACATGTCTTGGATCTGATCTGAAGGACACCACAGGTATGCGCCTTATTCCTTCGTTCATTTTCATCCGTATGTTCACCTGGCAACTGTGTTGTCTCCACTTTGTAAATCCACATTTGGCCTTTACTTTTACCTGAACATCTGTCAAAAACTATGCTTGATTACAGGATATTTGACAAACAACAATGTATTTCATTCTCATGAATCTTGAGACATTGCCATGACACCTAGCACTCCAATTGTGTTCTCGAGTGCACTGAGAAGGTAACAGAGCTCCTCCACTACTGCTGCATTAATTAAATGCCAGTGTCAAAGAGATTTCTCCTAAGAATGACCATTAGTTGAATGCAAAACAATGATGAGAATGGGCTGAGCTTTGATGTTCTAGCAAACTGACAGATCTTCCAAAATGCTTGATGTTCTCCTAGCAAACTGACAGATCTTCCAAAATGATTCTCCATTGATTTCTCCCCACTGGTACTAGGAAGAAATACAGTTCCATTTTATCCAGGAATTTGTATCAGATTGGTTCTACTGCCAGGCAGGTAATGATAAGGGTTTTGAATGACATTACTAAGTTTGTTTTAAAAGATAGTAATAAGTACAAATGTTCCAAAGGATTAGGAGTATATGTAGATACCAAAGATCTCATTTTCACATAAATCCCCTACATCCCTTAGCTGAAGGCACCTCAGGCTATAATGTGGATACCAGTGTCTATGAGCTACATACTATTATCTCTACGCCGTCTGCCTCTTCTCCCTGCCAAAATAAGCATTTACAGTATTCTCAGTGAAATAGGAGGATGGAAACAGTCATTACCATTCCTCCAAATCACTCCCTCTCCGCTTGTCTAGACCACGTACAGGTCAGTAGTGCGTACCGTTAGTCCAACCAAATCTGCCCTACTCTTTCTGCCCTCCCTTTTCTCTGTTTTCACTTGATTTTTCTGCTTGACATTGCCCAAAGCCTGCATGCCAACCTCTCTAGGGCAGGAGCCGTGTGGGTCTATTCCCAAGCAGGATCCTTAGGAAACACCAAAATACAAAATCAAGAGCATATAAATAATAATACTTCGCAAATACTAATATATTTATTGAGGGGCCTCAAAAAGTATGCAAGTATAACTAATATCATTCTACGTTACTGGAAAATGTGAAATCAAAATGTTTTGCATTGTTCTTCGTTCCTTGTGGTAAGTCCTAAGCAGAATCAAATTTCTGCTCCTTGTGCAGATCACCGAAGAAACACCCTCTGGGATAGCATTTAGCATTGGGGTTAACATCGTCCTAACCACTGTAACAATTTCTACATTCTTCACAGATCTCAAACTTGGCCTCTTATGAACACCAGCTTCCCAAAGTAAGCGTGCAGTTTGTGTTTTCTGGTAATTGTCAAAATGCGCAGTTTTCTGCAGCATCTTCTGCCTCCAGTATTGTTATACAACTGCATTAAAGCCACAGCCCTCAGTCTGTGGCTGAGCACCTTCTGAGTCTACGTCAAGGTTATTATAGTGCCCTTTGGTGTTTATCTTGGTAGGTTTTGCTGGCATCAGGTACCGAAGGTTCTTCCAAAATCTGGAATTCACGGGAAGAGATTTATCCTTCTTCCACTTCACAACCCTCTTTGATGGTAAAAGAGACAGTGATTCTGGCAAGAATTTGTAGTCACTTATAGGCATGTATTCAATTAATATGATTTTAGTTTTCCTTTCAACTAGGGCTTTATGGAGTCCACTCTCAAGTTCGTATATGGCTCTGTCAGAAACGTAGTTCTGGCTCAGTATAATGATTAATCTTCGACTTTTGTCAATGAATGAATGAATATCATCAACAACCGCTGCAAATTAAAGATAAATGTGTTATTAAAATAAATTGAAAGGATAGGCACTGAATCGACTTATCTTTTAATATTCGCACATATACCAAAAATGTTCCCCTTATAAAGTGACAGCATGTAAGCACCCTGTCCCTAAGAAGAGATGAATATGCATTGAAGATTAAGAGTCTGTGAAAATGAGCTTAGGAATGGCCAACGCTTGTTCTCTGGAGTAGACAAAATGAACACACAATCTCCAGCTACCCTAGTCAGCTGTCTGTCAGTAGTCACATGGATAGAAGGTGGCAGCAAAATTTATTTTTCCTCCAACCAGATATCTCTTTGCTTTTTGATAATAGATACGATTGGAGTGATTTCACAGAAAGTCACCAACAGCAACATCTCTCCAGATATTCAGTATCTCTCAGGTTACTCCTTCCTTTACGTCACCAAATACCCAAATCTATTGCCAGTAATACAAGGTTGAGAAGACTAGCACGTGACGACAGAAAGAGTTCCAACTGTGTTTGAGATCCATGGCTTCTGTCATGACAAGCAACAAATGAAACCAAACGGTGATACCCTTCAAACACCCATGCACTAAACTGAATTCTCATGCACAACTTCCTGTGCTTGCTTCAGTACCATGGGACAACGAGGTCTACAGAAACCAGAGAACTAGAAAACATGCAAAGCCAAAGAAAACTGCAGGAGTAACCTAAAGAAGAGAAAACTGAGAGGAGAAGGAGGCTGACAAGGGTGTTACAAGACACCAAAGAGTCCTGTAAATAGAATAAAATACTCTGTTTTCCATATTCACAACGGATCAGACCAGAGAAAAAGAAACAAGCTAAAACTATTGCAAGCAAATAAGCTAAAACTATCAAAAGAATGAAATTAAATACTTTTGAAAGCCTTTTTTAATAATTAAGGAGAGAGAATAACTGGGAAAAAAATGGCTTGGGAGAGTTGTGGCACCTCTCAGGTTAGAAAAATATGTCAGGAATGGATACAAGGAGAGAAGATCCTGCTTTGTGAAGGAGGTTGACTGACCTTATTGTTCTGTGTTTTTAACAATGAAATCCTTTTCCTCAACTAGATCTTTGGACTAAACAGAATCCCCCAGTATCTTTTTTTCCAAGTATCTGTAAAAGGCCATCTATCCACAGGCCATTTAGAGAAACAAAATTCCATGTTCTCATTTCTATTTTGTTATGGCATCCATTACATTCACAAAATGGTTTTAACCCCTACACTGAAGACACAGCAAACATACAAGTTGCCTGACAATAACTAGTACCAGAGTGTCATGGTTTCAGCTGGGAGGGAGTTAAATTTCTTGCTAGCAGCTGGTATGGGGCTATGTTTTGGGTTTGGGATGACAGTGGTGTTGATAGCACACTGGTGGTTTTGGTTGTTGCGAAGCCCTCAAGGCCTCACACCATCCCACCAGCGAACAGGTTGGGAGTGCACAAGAAGTTGGGAGGCGACACAGCCAAGACAGCTGACTCCCAACTGACCAGAAGGATAGTCCATACCATATGACATCATGCTCAGTATATAAAGCGGGGGAAGAAGAAGGAAGGGGGGGGGACATTCAGAGTGATGGTACTTGTCTTCCCAAGTAAACGTTATGTGTGACGGAGCCCTGCTTTCCTGGAGATGGCTGAACACCTGCCTACCCATGGGAACCAGGGAATGAATTCCTTGGCTTGCTTTGCTTGTGCTTGCAGCTTTTGCTTTATCTATTAAACTAGCTGTGGGCAGTGAGTGAGTGGCTGGGTAGTCCTATTTGCTGGCTGGGGTTAAACCACAACACAGAGGCACCAGCTGCTCTGTGCAGTAAATGAGAGTCATGCAGAGGCACCTGCTCTCAGCAAAAGCAGAGCAAGAGCACTATTGCTGTGAAACATTGTTCTCACCTTAACTTTCTCCATGCTAGCTTTTTCATCTGTTTATCTTGGTTCTGTGTAATTAAAGATATGTGTTTGTGTATGTGTGTAGGTGTATGTGAATTCATAAATATATCTACAAAAAATCTAAAATGTGTGTGTGTGAACTTCGCACGCACATAGTCTAGATTAAATGAGAAATGTAGCATTTCAATGCACAACACATTTGACAGAATTCCTTCTAATTACAGACTTTTACCTTTGGGTGAAAATGATGTGCCTGCTTAATGACAAGAATATTCAATACAGAATAGTCAATACGCTTACCTCCTCCAGGGGATACATCCCTCTCAAATATACATAACTTGTAGCCAAAGTTTTCTTCTAATATCATGGGCAATATCTTCAAAGCAAATTCTCTCTCTTCTTCAGTGGGAGAAATGCAGTCTTTCAAGTAAGACACAAATGCATCATATTCTTTCCCATCTGGAACGAAATCACCAGTTGTTGTCTTGTTAGCAACCATTAGAAATACAATATCTGATCCACCATTCTGGTTTTTGAAGTTATTGTCTCAGTAGCAAAGTATATTCCTGCTCTTTCCTTCAATACCCTGAATACTCTTCAAAATACAACCAAAAAAAATCCTGAATCAATTTAAGTTTGACACAAAAGATTCTGACTGCATTTGGCAAATATTTGAAAATAACATATCCTCTCTACATTAAAGTGTTGGATTTTTAAAAATCACATTAATTTAACCAGTTAATGTAACATCTGTGCTGATCAAGAAAATGAAGGGAAGCAAAAAATGTGTCTGTAACCTTAGAATGCTATTTAAGTGACATTGTCGATTTCTACATTTATTTTACTCTTTATCTAAGACTATCAAGTGGTTCTGTAGAAGGGGCACTGGCAAAATAGAATGAACCAACCTATTATTTTAATTACAAGAGGGTACCATGTCTGGTCATGCTTTGGGCAGTAATTTACAAACACAAAATCCAAGACCAACTCAGAGGCCAGGTCTACCACATTGAGCGGTATCTAATTGAACTTTGCCACAGAACAACTATCTGGACTGATACAGCAGCACACATAGCTTTGCAGCTTAAAGTGTACTTCTTTGCTTCCCTTTCCGGATACTGTGCTACATGTAGTTCGCAAGAGAGAGCACAAAAATAAAGCCCATGAACTCCTACACATACAAGAGCTCTACGAGCAGGAAATCCATTGCCAGTATCAGACAATCAGTTCCTCCAGGGTGGCCTAGTCCAGGTTCTCGGAGATCCTCCCTGTAAGCCAGTATACACAGTGGCAGCTGACATCAATAAACAGATAAATAATGCTGGCAGGCATAAATGGCATCGACCCATTACTGAGAAATCTCCAGCCACTGCAGTCTATTCAAGCTATATCCAAGCTGATTTAGAGACTAAAGAGGGCAAGAAAATCAGGTACATGTGTACAGCAAGCTTTTTCACCACGGTTTTCAGAAAAATTATGCCCAGAATTGGGCAATTGTCAGGCTTGCTCATTAAGTCGAGGTCACAGCCATGCTGCCTACTGAGATACTGGTAGTGTGCTCTCCTGCACTCCTTAAGTGCATTTAGTGACAGACCTATAAACATTGCAACAGCCGTTACAGTCAAGGAAGCATTTTAACCTCCACCTCACTGAAGGACATCAGTGAGGTCAAAACAAATATCTGTCAATCGGCCTGTCTGACAACGCCGGGGTGCTCATCCTTTTTACAGATAGATAATTGTAAACTTCTCCACATCCCTAAACTTTTGTGATGAAGAATATACCAGAACAGAGCGCATCTGAACAGCAGAGTCCCTTCCACTACCTTCTCCAGAGGCAGCTTCTTCACTGTGTCTATCTGCTGTTACTGCTCCAGGTGTATAACAAACTCGCTTTAGTACCTGACCCTCAAATTCTCTTTTACATATTCTTTGCTGTTTCTACTCACAAAACTCCTGGATTTATTTTGCCCCTTCCTCAAAGATGATTGTTTTATAGAACCTATCAGAAACTATTTTTTAATGAATACACTTATTTCAATGTGAGCATTAGCCAAGTCATACCTCCAACAGTGTCATCTCTTCTGCATATGTTCCTGTAAAGTAGAACTAAGTCAACTCTAAACATCACACAGACAAGCACCACAGCTACAGCAACACAGGGAAATAGTACAGCAAGGACCATTCCAGTTGTAAATATGTGCACAGGCAAATCTCGGGTGTTCCCTGTAAAACAGAAACCCAGGAAATCATAGCCTTAACAAAGAGTATTATACAACAAGATTACTGTATACAATACTGATGGCATCTTAAAATCACCCCAAAAAATCATAGTGTTGATGTGAATCCTTTCCTGCTAATACTAATACTAATACTAGTACTAATAGTAACACTAGCACTAACACTATCACTTACACTAACACTTACACTAATACTAATAAGCACATAGGCATGCCATTTGTCCTGAGATGGAGAAGAACTAGACAACATGGATTACTCTAAAAACCGGAGAAACAATCTTGCACACAATCACACACCCTCCACACACATAAAAGAACTGCATGTGGGATCAAGACTGATAATAGAGATCTTTATGGATTCACAGCATCCCAAACTGGTGGTCACCCACTTTTATGATGAGTTTTCCTCAGGTTCTTTATTATTTCCTGTTATTCTCTACCTTTCACCTCTCTCCCAGTCCACCCATAACAGCCTTTAATGTCCTCTTTGGCCAAGATCTTTTTTTTTCCTTCTGTCTTTAGTCTCTTTCTGGCACTTTTTTTAAATTTTTTTTTATTTTTTTTAAATTATTATTATTTTTTATTCTGTTATTTTTGCCTTTTTAGTTCCAAATATAGATTTTAACCCTTAAATCTTTGTGAAGTCTTTATGAAGGCACTGTCAAGTCATGCCTACTGTAGACTGTATTTAATTTGCTGTATTACACACATCATCTTTCGAATAGTCTATTCACACATATTTCCTCCCAGTAAAGCTTGGAAAGCTCTGAGAGAGAGAGAAAACAAGATGGCAATGCCCATTTGCTGTGAATCTCCAGGCTGTCTGGACTATAAATGTGCAGTACTACTATATGGTAGAGGTCAGCTTTCCATAGCTAGAAGGATAAGAGTCCCTGACAACAGAGAAACTGTAGACCAGAACATTTCAGGCACTATCAGGAACATAAAAGATTGACCTCTCTGGGGGAGGTGTGGGGGAAAAACAAAAACAAAACCAAAAAACACATAAGGCATAAGCCTTGGGTAGTTAACTGCCATGATTCCACCAATCTGATGAGTAGGAGAGGACAGGGAACGCTCTGTCATGGGGCCTAACAAAGTGCCACCCAGGGATCTGTCAGCCAGAGCATAGCTCAGCCTCCCAGCTGTGTCCACAGCAGCAGCGGCTGAAATATGGAGCCCTCGCACAGCTGCTCTAGCAGAAGTAGCAGCAACCCCTGCTGCCCCTGTCTCAGAGCAGGAGGAATCACCCAGGGGAGTTGTTAGGTCCAGCGCTAGACGGACCAGGGTCTTCATAAGCACACAGACATATCTGGAGAGATGTTCTGAAATCATCACCCTGCCCTTAGGATTGAGAAGGCTGGCACAATCAATAACCATGTATGAGGAGCATAATTCATAGGTTATACCATACCTTTCTTCAATTTCACTATTTTCATTTGTGTTCTTTCATCAGCTTGCAACATGCAAGTGAAATTATGATGCATGTCCTCGGCTGTTACTTTTTTAATCCGTAGTAGCCTTGTGACATAGAACTTGTTTCCCAACCTGCAGTAAGGAATGGTGTTAGCAACGCTCTCTGTACAGAAACCTAGAACCAGCTGAGAGGCAGATTTTGAGAAAAAAGTTCTAAAATAACCTCAGACATTTTACTGAATTTGCAGTCCACAAAGTGCAGGACATTATCACACACAAACAAAAGTGCAGTATTTTCAGGAAACCTACTGTAATTTTTTTAATTCTTCTTCACATATTGAAGGTTCATTCTCAGGGATACCTGAGCATTTTTCTGGAAACGTTTGATTAATTAACCAGTAGAGGCTGGCATCTTCTCGCATATAATAACCCAGGAAACCTGTGCAATTGAGTATCTCTTCTTTACCTAAACAAAGCATAACATGAGAAGATCTAGTCAGAAGTAGCATTCATGTTCACGGTGCAGTAAAATGTCAGCTTTCCAGGCAATGTACCCCATGAGCTGTGCTCGTTTGTGCATAGCCCCCACATGATGTTTCATACGTGTTCCACCTGCACTGGTGGTGGCTTCGGCAACCACGCACAGGGCTCTCTTGCACCCTGTTGCAGAGTGACAGTCATCCACTGCTTTTTCTCAGACAAACTCTATCACATCCCGAAGAGCTTAAATAGGCCAGAGCATTTCAGGCTTTAGAGAACTAAAAGGAGTTGGACTCTGTCCTGGTTTGAGGTAAAACAGGACCTATTTTCTGTTCAGTAATTTTACTTTATAGCTGAGCCTCTTCTAACTACTGAAATTAAAAGCATATTGTGGAGACACTTTTCGCTCTCAGAGTGATAAGACTTGAGTTTATAGTTGATGCCAAGGAACGGGATGCAGAGAGGCTCCTGCTTATACTTATTGCTGTAACAGCCAAGGCAGCGAACTTTGGTATTTGCCCCATTGGAGGGTCGGAAGTGGAAAAGTATAGAGGGGTCCCTCCTGCGGGGAGGAGCGGACAGGACAGGTGACCCAAAACTGACCCACAGGGTATTCCATCCCATCTGCCTCATGCCCAGTATAAAAGCTGAGGGATCAAAGGGTCAGCTCTCTTTCTTCAGTTGCCGACGTCCAAGGAGGACTCTGTCTGTTTGTCTGCCTTTGATCCTGATCCCTGCATACAGGTCCCTTCCAGCTCGAGATATCTATCATTCTATGAACTAAACTGTGTGCTGCAGGCAGAGAATAGAAGAGGACAACCTACCACCAGCACCCCAGCGCCAGGTAAAAGTAAGTAACTGGTAAGTGAAATTACAACCTATTGATTGTAATAGCTAAAGTATACACTCTTACTCAAAGGAAAAACTAAACCTGTTAGACCCCCTGCTGAAGTCTCACAGGAGAAATTCTCGTCTGAGCTCCACGCCTGGAAATCATTATAATCCTGAAAGTGTGAATGAGTCCCTTAGCTGGACAGCTACTTTGCACCATTTCAGAGCACTAAATGGAAATGAGAGGAACCACCCCTTAGAGTCCGATAAATTATAAGAAAGAGCAAAAGTAAAAAGACAAGTGTACACTTGGGAAAATAAAGACAGAAGGTTGCAGCTCTGCAGTGTGAGATTTGATGATATTCAAGGTATTTTATCTTAACATTGTCATGGGAAGCTGGACCTGAGGGTATCTGCAACTTTACAACACCATTTCTAGGCTGTGCCAGTATTGTTTCCAGAATGCCACAAAAGCTGCATGTTAGTTCTTGTCCAGGCCATCATGCACAAATGCTTTCCATTAAGCAAGGCCTGCCCAGGAATTCTCCAAGGGGACATACTATAAGCTGCCTTCCCGAGATTTATCAGAGTGGATGCTTCCAGTGGAACTCCTGAAGAATATTTAAAGCAGGATTCAGTTGAAAATCTGCCCATCTTCAATTCAGACCTTAGAAATCCAAATCACAGTTAAACAGACTGAAACATAGACCTAAACTTCTAGTACCATCTACTTTGCAACTCTAGCCTTTTCACCATACACAACAGCTATTTTCGGGGAAATATTATGGAACACCATCTAAGCAATGACAAGTTTGAAAGGCCATCCAAAATGCCCTTCACTCTCCACCACGCCATCTGTCACATCACTCACTAGGTAGTTGAATGACCTTATCAAATGATCTTATCAGTCCAGATAAGAAATGGAAGACAGATGATTCATAATCATTTTATGCTGAATGCTGCCTTCTAAGGGTTGGGACAAGCACAGTAAGGGAGGAGAACCGTGCAGGAAGGGTGTACTGAGAGGCTGGGAGACATGAGGCATCATAGGATTGGGGTACTACCATTGGAAAAAGGACCTACCAATTCATATATGTAGGAAGGAAGGAAAATTAGCGTCTGAGGTCCCGGCTGAGCAAATGAGATACACGTATGAGCAACAGAGGAGGTAAATATAATATTTCAGACTTGGAAAGGAAGGGCTGGGTAACCAGACTGGAGGCATAGGAAAGGAAAAAGACAGGTAAATTTCTGCTTTAAAAAATGAACAGCCTCAATCACAAAATTCTGGATCCTACCCAACACTGTATAAAGCCTGCAGACTGTGTTATCTACTACTCCCAGCTAGAAGCACAGTCAAGGGTTTGGCTTTTGACAATATAACCAATTCTTTGCAGCAGTGACAGATCTGCACGCTCACATTGTCAGGACTGTCAGCCCTTACGCTTCTCATTTCCCTGCAGAATTCCCAACTGCATCAGATATTAAGCGGATTACTCATTATTGCTGTTTGCTGAACAAACCAGAAACCTTTCACACATCGCTCCATGGGGTTTGCTGTCTACAAAAGAAAGCCATGGAGAGTCGTTTATCATCACTGCCACTTTCTCTTGCGGGTCATTGCAGCAACCTCAGTTTCTGCCTCTGTAAGAGGGTAAATTTAGTGTACCTGTATATCAATCATGGAATGCACTAGGAAAAAACCAACCAGATGTGAAGATGGATCAGATCCAGGAGGGTGCACAGACAATTCGAGGTTTGATTACACTTAGCCAGACCTTCAACCATAAAGAGATAAGAATAAAAGTATATATACGCAGTAGCTACCACAAAGATTCTTGTACTAATTTGATACCTATTTCTGTTTCAATTTCTTCATCATGTCCAACAATCTCCAAAGTTACAGCCTCTGGTGCATCTAAAATAGAAAGAAGTACTGCTATTGAAGTAATAGCTTACTTACATTCTGCCACGATAAAAATTACACATTTGCTTTATTTCTAAAACTAATCACATAGATTCCATTTAATTCAAAGAACAATATCTGGACTCTGGCATTAGTTACTTTAAAACACAGTATGTCCTGTTGATTTTTTTTCACATGCATACTACGCAGTGCATAATTTACAATGGTTGGAAAGGCTCTGCCCTAAGACTCTTAGTAAGTTTGTATGACTGACTGACAGCAGCTAATTTTGAAAAAAAACAAAAAAAAACCCAAAACCCCCCCCAAAAAAAACCCTGCAGTGAAAACATACTAAATAAATTTTCCAAAAATTGGTAGTATGTTATATAAACTTCTTCTGCTGCTTTTTTTTTAATTTTTGAAATTATTGCAAAATATTTAAGACTACCAGATTTGATCACCCTTGTATTAATTTATCAAATGAGAGTTGTAATTAAAAATCCCCATAGTAAGGAGAACAAAAAAGTGTGCTTCAAAATTTCGGAAAGGTTTCTTACCTTCTTCTACTACCAGTTTAATTGTGTTTGTGCTGTGGTATATCTTTCCTTCATGACTGATTAAAATTTTACAGGTATATATCCCAGAGTGCTGTACTGTTAAGGTTTTAAAATCCAGCTCCCGCTCTGTTTCATTTTCATAGTTCTTACAGTCCTGCATCAATAAAGACAGAAAATACTATTCTGTAGCAAACGTACATTCAAAACCTTAAAGAAATTCAAAATTATTTTTGAAACGAAATGTCACCATCACTCTTTCACTACCTCAATGACATTTATCTCACCCAAAAGGGGTGAGGCCCAATTTTCAGTCATGGTCACTTAAATGCAACATTTGACCATTCAACCCATTAGAAGTTGAGAGCACTGCAGTTCCAAGTAAGCGTCTGACTACAAAAATATTGTATTGGGAATTTAAATGTACTCATCTATTTCTTTCAGAATGATGGCTTGGGTCTGTATATGTCACCTGCTTGTGGCCAAAAGTTGTCCAGGCTTACGAGGAGCTTTCAGGTTAAAGCAAAATGCCTCAACAATAGCGAAAGTGACCATCTCAGAGGGTGACAAGAATTAGACGCACACTCCCTATTCACCAAAACAAACTCTGGTTTGTTTGGGTTTGGTTGTTTTTTTGATTCATAGCACGTGCTAAGTAAAATGTCCCGTGAAAATACAGCAATATTTGGCTCTGGTCTGAATTACCTTAGATTAAGAAGGGAAATGATCAATGCTGGAAATTGTCCAGGGAACGGACATTTCCTGGATGCATACACTTACTACCCAGCTCTTATATAAACACATGTGTGACCATCCCTGTTTTATCTATCTCAGCTCAGGCTGTGATAGGAAGGCTTTGAAAATTTTCACCCAAGCACCAAAGGATATTTAGGTGCAAGGACAGCTGCTTCATCTGTCTTACACAGTATTAGACATTAAAATATATACTCTGCTTAGCCATGAGAGAGGTCACTCTAGGGTACAGTCCTTTACTGAGGAAAACATATCCACCTACGGCCCTATCCACCAATGGTCCTATCCCACAAGACCCTGAAGGACACGAAAGTGGGGCAGTGGATCATTCTGCCAGGCAGAAGCCAGACGCTCATACTTAAGCTGTGAAAATCACTTCCTGAAACTGATTCAACGCGGAGTGAACAGGGTCTGTTACTCCAAGCAGGACACCTGAGAGAAATAAGGAGCATTGGTCACGACTGTGCATAGGGATGGCATGGAAGAAACCTTTTCAGGCTGCTTCGTCCAATGGTTGAGCACAACACCCAGCAGTTACAGCTGCTTACATGACTATTATCTTTGTTCTGACAAAAGCTGGTAGAGAGAAGACCCATGATTTGCCTAAAATGAACAGAACCGGATCTGTTACACATTTTGTAAAATATGTTCAGAAAGAGCAAAACTGAAAAGTTTGCGATTACTTTACAAGCAGACGCCAACTGTAAAACAAGTATCTTGGCATCTCATTTAGCGTCAGGATAGTATCTGTGTCAGCAAAGTAGCAGCTGGCTAAACCAGCTGCTGGCTAAATTGGCAGACAGACATGAGCATCAGATCTTTTACCACTCCAAACTACCAGTTTATTAATAATTTCTAATTACAGGTATATTTTCCTAAAAAATAGGAAAGCAGAGAAAAGCTTTCTTTTGTATATCTGTCTAAAGTTTTTTTCCCTAGTAACCTGAGAAATTAAAGGTTTAAAAGGTTTATAGATGCTTCTAAAAATTTGTTTGTAATAATTAATTTTTTCCTGCAATCAGATGTTTTGTTTCTATAGCCAATGATTTGAGTGACACTGTTTCAGTAATTACCTTGTACCACGTAATGCTGTCATTTTCATTGACAGACAAATCACTGCATTTCAGTGAATGACCAGTTCCAGCATTTTGAATTTCTGTAGTTAAATGATTTTTATTGAAACAGCTGCTTTTATTTCTCTCAAGCACATTCAAGGTCCACTTTTGAATTGTGAAATTTTGTTTTCCATTGCTATATAAAAAAAAAAAAAAAGCAAAATCAGGTTTAGGAGCTTTTTAAATAAATATAGCTTAGTGAGTTACACAACAAAATACAAATAAATTCTCTAACACATCTGTTAGGTAGAATTACATCTACAGTGACCTAATTATTTATATCCCCCTTATTAGTCTTCCACCCCCAAATATGTGTTATTTCCCATAACAAAAGATGTTATCTAAACTAAATCATGTATCACAAAACATTTGACAATACAATTATATCTATGAAATATGACGGTATACGCTATATCGACCAGAACAAGGATGCCACTATCTGTGGCATCATGTACAGTTACAAGTGACCATAAGAGAGCTTTAGGACCTTGAATCAGCTAGTGATTTTTCAGGTTTAATCTCCTATGCATTGCTAAGGTTTAAAGCAGTAACTGAAAGATATATTTGTAAAATATGGCAAAAATAAGATGGGCGACTCAGCTATTGTTCACAAAGTAACATTATTCATTGATTAACACTGTGCAGGTAGTCACTGATATTTTGGAAATATTTCTAAACTACGCAAGTCTCATGAATTACAGAACCACTTATGGATTCAAGCATGTCTGCAAAACAAGGCATTTTGGAAAGGATTCATCTCTTTGTCTTTTGGTTTGCACTGATCAGAGATTTATCATAGCTGGTCACCCCAGGTTGACTGGAAGAGCTACCGCTCTTAAAGCAGTTGTCACATCCCATGCAGTATCTATAAAAGATCAGGTGAATATGCTTCAAAAATACCTCTTTTGAATATTTAGGAGCTGACCATTGTCATTCAGATATCTACTATGTTCTATCCACATATTCCTCTAAAGAATCACATTATAGCTGTGAGTTATTTCATTGCTGGATATGTCCAAATACATGACTACCAAGGGGAAAGAAGCTGGAGGAGTTTTGGCCTGAGTTTGGTGAAGTTGGCCTAACTTTGGCAAAGTTAGGGATTAAGAGAAAGTCATATGCTGCTGTAAGTTAATGTTGCAATTAGCGCATAAAGCTCGTATTTTTTACTGAACTAGTAGGGTCTGACAAAGCAAAAGCAGCAATCACAGAGCACTTCCCTCCAGTGTCAGTCATATCTTCATAAATATGTTTGAACCCTTCTGTCTCCAAGAAAAGAAAAAGGAATCGTTCCCAGGAGAACTGAAACTAGTCAAGTATCATTTCGATGAAAAGGGCTGAGGGTTGAAAGCAGCTGAAATAGAGAAGCAAGCCTGACGAGTGTATCAGCTTAAACACCATTCTTGACTGACACGCCTTTGACTGTTACAAGATTCAAAACTATTAGGACATCATTTATACAATGAATTTAGACCAAGTTTTGGGTGGGTTTTTTCCCCCTTTTTAAGCTCCCCAAATAGATATATTTACGTATTTTGCTCACTCTCTTCACATTGTAGCCCCTTTTCAGCCTGCACAGGTTCTCTTTGCTCTCCTTACTCACTTGAGATATTCATTACTCATAATTGCAATTGACTATCTAAATCAAAACATAGCGGTCTGGTTTCTCAATCAGCTAACTATGGTGTCATAAACAGGAAAAACCGTATCAAAACTTTTTCATCTGAGATGTACTCGCATGGGTATTCACGGTGGGTGGAGTCCTTCTCACCCATTCTGCAACATCACATTTACACATTTAAATCAGAGCTACTAATCACAGGCGGCAGTGGGACCATGCTCAATAGTCACCCTTTTAGAGTGCAGTTTACATGACCTATTTTATATGTTTGGTTTAGGACAAGATATTCTGTGCCCCAGAAAGGCCTCTTTCTTCCTGACGGTAAAGGTACCTAAGATAAGTTTAGGTGTAGACATAAACAATAGTTCCAATTAATTCCACCGAGTCTGTGTGTATCTGAATACTGCTGGACAAGCAATTACAGATCTAGCCATAAAATACATATGGTTTTACTACCTAGATTCAGCAGATGGAAAAAAAGGATCAATAAAGCCACATGCTGTCCTCAGCACTGTCACTCCACAGAGGCTTTCTTCTGTGATCATATTTGCTGAAATCACTTCAACAAATACGAGGATTTCACTTGAAGTGGATCAAGATGTTCTACCTGATAAGCCAAAATCTGGCAAGGAGCATCTCCCTTGAAGGTGACAAAAACATACCTATGCAAACTAAGATGAATTTGGCCTACATAATTTCTAACTTCTGCCATATACATGATTCTCAACAAAAAAATGCATCAAGTTGTATTGTTCAAACTGCTAGTGTCTGAGCTGTTACTTTCTACCCTAGTCTTCACTTGCTGAGGTTCTTTAGTGATAATTTGTGGGAAACAAAACCATTTCTGCCTTTCAACTGCCCCCGCCAAACCCACCAAGAAGGAACAACAAAAAATAACTTGACTCAGAAGAGGATAGAAAGAATTGAAAGCCCTTAGAGAACAACTTAAACCAAGTTTACTGGATACATAGCCAACACTAAGTCATCCCTTAGCTATTTCACTGCAACAAGCCAGGGTTATCTCAACATTTCAATATCTACTGCAAGAAACTGTCATACTGCCTTCCAAAGTACAATATTAACTCTAAATGTGTGTGTTCCCACTGCTTTCAACTGTTCTAAAAACGTTGAAAAAGTGAGCAGTATTAGGATCTTAAATTGTGTCATGTGTTTATCAAGAATCTCTGTACTTTTGTTTTTTTCAGGAACCTGTAAGTTGCCTCAGTTTCAAGGTCACCAACACTGAGCAACCAGATGACCTGCTTTTTTGTATTCAGGTTTTCTCTTTGATAACCACAGGATATAGACTATGAAAAAACATACAAATTAGAAATCCTGCCAAAAATGTGTGACACAGTTTTTCTGCTTATCACTCCCACTACAAATGCATATGAAGTCCTTTATTTTCAAGAATTGTTGCTGAAGATGGACACACTCAGGCTTACAGGTGACGTCTACTAATTCCTGAATTTATATCTTAAGTCTACTATACTAATAAACACATGTGAATATATCAACACACACATACGCACACTTTAGCTATCTATGCTATGCCTCAGCGGGACACTTCTGCTTTAATTGGAAAACTTCTGATTCATATTTAAGTCAATAAGTGGATAATACACCATAAATACACCGTTATATCATTTTTAGCTCTCGCTTCTTGCATATTGTCAGTTGTAAGATATCAGAAAAAAAGTGCCTAAATTTCATTAGTTTGCAAAATCTGTCAATATCTGTTGTCTCTTTTCTTGAAAATCTGCAGTATATCTAATTGTCATTTTGTTCACTAAAACTGCCAAAAACAGTTATAAGCACTCTAAAAATCATTGCCCATATAGCTTACAAATACTTATCTTTAAATTAAATGGTTGAAGATAAAATAGATAAACAAAAATATACTTAGAATGTCTGCTTTCAAAACCAGAACTTTAACCTATTCTAAATGCTCTGAAATGAAACTAATTCAATTCTAATTGTCATTCTTCTAAAATCTTAAACCAATGCAGTAGTTCACAGTAGCCCACAATTTTTCCCTATCAATAGAGACTACTAAAAGCCCTCTGTCTCTGCAGAAAACTGTTTCTGCAAATAATATTCTGTATTTGCTGAAATGTAACTGCATTAATATGCTTGCCAATAGTGAGCACCATCATATAAACTAAGCCCAAGGCCCCACTAAAATCCCATGAAAAAAATCCCCTTATGCTGATTGAGCCAGTGGTGGTCAAAAATATATTATTTTAATTAAGAAACTTTTTTTTTTCCAAAATAAAAATGCATTCCTTCAAAACTGAGTTTTAAAATGCAGTAGCATAATATAGTCCTAGAAAACAAAACAAAAAAAGCAGAAAATAAAAACTCTTAATTCCAAATGAATGCCTTGATGTAATTGAAACCTTTCTTTTGAGTTTCTTGCCTAAGCAAATCAGCAAATCAAGACATTTCACAAAGGATTCAGACACTTTTGTGTTTTCCAAAAAAGAGTTATTTTAACAAATTTTATCCTAATAGTTCTACTTGAGGTCTTTTCCTGTTGACTCCTACATGTAAGGCTGTTTCTCTCAGTTTTGGCATTTACATTTTTTTCATATTCATATTACAGAGTTCTTGCAATTTACTGTGGATTTACTGTCGTTACTCCAAGTCCTTAAAATAATCACAAAACTGCAAGGATCGTGAATGAAGGCTGGGGTTATCACAGCTTTCCTCACTTCTGTCCTTTATTTTAGACTCCTCACAACAACCTCCTTCGGTAGCCTGGCGATTCAGGTGTGATCCTCACCTATCCCTCCCCATGCCAAAATAAGTCAGAGGGTGCATTTTATACCACTGGTTAGGTGCTAGCAGTAGAGTGAGTGGTTATATTTAATAGCTTTCTGGCACCATATTTAGAGAAGTGACCATAAGGACAACTGATCAAGGCCATCAATAAAGCCAAAATTTAAAGCCAAATTCAGGCTTGATATGAAAAGTACAGGTCCGTGAAAACAGACAAGCCTCTGTTAGGTATTATCTAATGTTAACCCCTACACACCAAAACTGACCAGCTGGACTCACCTGTGCCACTTCATACAAATGTCCGTACTCAATAACACACGACTTTTGTACGACCTTGCATAACAAAGTAGCCAAACTACCATACTCATCACCCCTAAAGACAAATCTCTTAATCTTAAGTTCAACACACAAGTAAAATCTTTCTCAAGCTTTACCTTTTATTTGGATAGAGTGCTCTACAATTAAAAAGAAATCACATAAACCCAAAAGAAATATTCTACCAGCAGACTTTTCATTTATAATATCCAGCATTTCAGATACTGCAAGTCAGTACTTTTAAAAATAATATCAGCAAGACAATAATAATAATGATACATGGAAAAATAAAACATGAAATTTTCAGCTTCCTAGTAAACTTGGAAGTTAACAATTGAGATCTAGCTTAAAACCGTAAACTATTGAACTTGTCTCTGGGTTGTAACTGGAGAAATGTGGAGAGCATTTTTCAGTATCCGCAGTCCCATAACCTTTACAAACCAGGCAAGAACCTTAAAAATATTACCCAGAGAACAGCATCACAGACAAAATCATCTGCTTAAAATTAATTATTGCTTCAATTGTAAATGCTGAATTACAGTCTTGGTGCAAGTTAGTCATAAGAACTCGATGCAGCAAACTTTTGATTCAGTCCTTTAGTCTTTCATGGTGGTTTAATGAAGATTACCCACCAAATAATTGAGGCCCACCCTTATTTCTCCTGCTGACCCATGATGTTCTACAGCAGTAAGAAATCAAATTCCATTATTTCATTTGTTCTCTGAATGGCTCCAAGCATGCAAAGATTTGCATGGAAACCAGAGTTCAGCTATGCCACTTTGCTACACAATTAGGCCACCTGGCAGGTCTCATAGGGTGAGATCCACTCAACGTAGGAAGGAAGAACAAGTCTGGCGGAGAAGACAAGCAAATGTTTCCTTTTACTTGGCAGTGGAGAGAAGGGTTGTCTATCACTCATTTTGCTTAGGCAATTAATCACAAAGGAACAGAAATGCCACCTGCCCTATCGAACAGTTTACAGCACCGTTAAAAGGCTGCAACTGCCTGTAGCTATTTGTAAACACTATAGGTCTGCCTGGATGGTTACTGTGAAATGATGTGGGCAATGACACCACAGTCAACGTAGTTCCCTGCACCTCCTTTGTACGGATGCCACGAGCAACACAAAGCAAGACAAAGAAATCAGCTTCCTCATAGACAAGTGCAAAGGCAAGATGTTCACCCACCAGCTTGTGCACCCACCTGTGAGTGACCGAGTAATTCCCAGAGTCACTGAGTTCAGCTGGCCAAAACTCCAGAGAATTCCTTTGGGAAACAATTCCATGTGTTTCCTTTATCAGTTGCTGCTTTCCAGCATTTTCTTTGTACCACTTTACTGTGTACGCTTCCTTCTGAAAATGTTCTTGCCTTGACTCAAGATAACAAAGGAAAAAATATTCCCCTTCTAGCACATCAATGGAGGCACGAAGGGGACACAGCTTCTCTTCAGAGACAGTGGAAAAAAAAGATATATTAGGAAGCCAAGTAGTTCTTTCAGAAAATGACATTAGCTTGACTTTAAAGTGATTTGCAGTGCCACTGGTCTTTTATAAAGTGACTTTCCTTCAGCAGAGTGGTTTGGCAGTATTTATTTATTGCGGCAATATTTATTTCAGTCTGAGAACTCAGTTTTCCAAGTCTTTATTCTACCTTACACAAGCAAAACCAGAAGGAAAAGGAGGGTGAAAAAAAGGACATTTCCCTAAGATGCTTTCACATGGGTGCAACAGTGTCAGAATTAAACAGGCTCAAACAGCAGAATCTCACTCCACAGTAAAGCAGCTGCCACAAACGGAAGGGGAAAGGAGAAATTCTTACATATGGTTTGACTTGACAAATATGGCTAATCCTCAGAACTGGTCAACTGCCATAAAAGCAGCAATTCTGTGAATTAACATTTACATTTCCATATCTTCTTAATGAAAACTAAATCATTATGTGGCTTGATTTCTTAAAAAATTCAGATAAATTGTTTTGGAATGAGATTACACGTGTAAAATTTAGTCTCAAAGTCTGCTTTTCCAATCAAATTTCCCAAATGTACCTTTGCATACAGAAGTAAAAAAATACAGAAAAGGGACCATGGTCTAACATTAATAGTCAGGGATAAAATAAACCTTCGGTCTCTGTTTCTCCTGACGTTCTGAGAGGTTAGCGTTGTTCAGCCACTATTGTGACCACACTTCTAAACAGAATGAAGTGGACTCATTCTCTTCCTTGCTGTGGCTCTTCACACAGCCATGCTCCCATAGACATCATCAGGTGTCTCCAGGTAGCATCTCTGCTCTTTTTACTCCATAATTTTGGTATTTTGGACCACAAGTCTGGAGCCAGGCTGAAATTGCCAAAACTTTTAAGATTTTGTTCTTAGCTGCAAAATATGAAACTTGCCCCCCTCTAAGCAACTGTCAAGATGCCACACATTCAGCAAATATTTTGAAGGTTCTACTGTTGAAATGAGGATTTATACTTACCAGTGGCAGATTCAATGATAAACAAGAAAAAAAAAACGATCGTAGACATTTTCTTGAGTTAATTCTCACTTCTCCAGAAAAATGAAATGGAATCGTTCTTGCTTGTTCTCAAAGCCTGAGAAAAACAGACTCACAATTCATCACAAGTGCAGTGAAACAGATTACTTTGAGCATGTGGGCAGTGTGACCATTGCCTGGTACCGAAGAGGGCTTTCCGAATGCAAAGTTACACATTTTTACCATAACAGCTATTTTCATATATCAGGTAATGTATCTAGATTTTTCTTGGCAAGTTTATTTTAAACACAGAAAGCACTGCAGGGTTTCCTTCCTCCATTTTCTTGTTCACTAGATGTATTTCACATTTCTGATTAAACTGACAATCTTACAGAAGCACTCAAACTTAGAGCCCAAGCCAGTAGACGCCTACCACAGGATAGGACAGTGCTTTTTTTCTACATAGAGAGTATAAATTTTGCATGACTGGACCTTACAGAAACAGCTAATAGAAACTTCCCTTGCCTTCAACGAGAACAGCACAATGTTGATGGATCAGACACCTTGGTGGCTAATTTTGATGCTGTTGGAAAACAATGAGATCTACAATTTTTGCTTACAATTTTGGCTATGGAACTGATAAGCACCGTCTGAGAGTGCTAACGTTTCTACTGAGGAGGAGCAGATGAAGAAACTCATATTCAATTGCTTCATATGCAGACAACTGTGCTTTCAAAGGCAAAAGGAAAACACCACTAAACAATACCAGTGTGGAGTATCTTCTCCGAGATTCCTCAAAATAGCAGGTTAACTGACAACCAAAGGCAGAGCCAGTCCTAAGACTGTGCCTCAGTTTTGCTTCCAAAACACAGATCGAGTATATATGAAGCTCAGTTCAACCTCTGCAGCAAGTCAGATAACCGTGCTTACTCCCTGACCTGAACATGCATAGACAAGTGAGACACAGACACAAGAGAGATTTCACAGAGAGCCACCAAAAGAAATCTTGTTAGAGTTCTGTTTCTTTGGGTTTATTACCCAAACCTCTTGCAATTCGAGAAAGCGCATACTTACTGTTGTAAGACACGTCCCTGAGATTTAGAGTCAGAAAGTTCCCGTGATCTAAAGTGGCCAGAGGCAGGAGGCTACTGCATTTCCAGCAATATTCCAGAATGGCATCAAACTGTGTAACTGCTCTCCCTCTCTTACCATCCTCCCCAGTTCTTTACAAGTATGCCGTCATCCCGTAAATCACTGTAAGCAGATGAAAGATCTGTTTCGCATCCCCTTTTTCAGACTGCCCAGTAGACAGATCCAGATTTAGAAAGCAGCTAGAAGTTGGATGCTGAGTACTGCAACAAGTAACTTTAAAGGCTCATACAGTAAACTCAGACATGGTTTCAGTTCCCTTCTATACATGGAGACTCAAACTGCTACACTTCAGAAGGATCTTTCTTTATTTTCATTTCTTGAATTTACTTTTCATTTTTCACCATATCACATCCAGAAGAAATACAGCTGTTACAGACTATGAAACTGTGATCCACTACATAAAGATAAAATAATTTCTCACCAGATTTTTCATTCTAAGTCCCATTCTTTTTTGGCACATCACATCAGCACACAGTGGAAGTTTTAACAAATGCAGAGCAGAGCCCTTCAGCCTTTTAACAGGGATTAAAGAAGACAGCATAATTCAAGCTACTTAGTAATAACCAGGTTTGAGATTAGTGGCTACTATTAACAAGCAAAACACTGGTCCCTAATCTTACTCTCATTGCTGTTGAACCTGACAAATTTGTCTGAAATTGTTCTACTCCAGGCTAACAGTATTTACATTTGAGCCATATGGTTTGCATACTCTTTGATGAAACACTGCAGGGAAAATGGGGAGAAAAAAAAAACAAGATAAATGATTTTGGTGAAACGTAGCTAATATAAAGAGATTTTTCAAGGAACAGAATAAATTTTCAATTTGCAGAAAGAAATGGAGGGATCTTTTAAAGTAAAGGCAAAGATTCTCTGCCTAATAAAGGAGTACAGAAATACTCAATGATCAAAATGCTAAGGCAATAGTAGGGAGTGACAGTTTTAATGAAAAAAGTATAAAAAACTATAAAAAACTATAAAAACTTATAAAAAAGCCACACCAAAAGTGACAATAGCTTTAAGCATGTTTTGCAAATTTCATACATGCTTAAAGCCATGGATGGAATTTTAATAATAAAAAATCGTTCTTAAAAATCATTGTGCTATTGTGAAGCCAGCAAAATCTTTAAACAACCTGAAGGTTTAAGTTCTGTAAAGTGCATTGTAATGATATCCCATGAACTAGACAATTGTTTGCATTTAAACGTCATTATAATTATTCCTTATTTTCCTAGAATCTCCAGAAGACTTTGGAATGAAAGGGGACTGATACATCCAAGTGATTTTGGACAAGTAAGTCATTTTGATCAACACTTTTGGAAACATGAATTTGGTCCCAAAGAGTTGCAACTTCTTTTTTTTAAAAAAACAACAGATTCTTCTGGACATCAGACTGTTTAAAGAAATATTTTGGGGTCAAGGGAGGAAAGCGCTAAATTCACCTCTTTAAGGCTCTTCCTCTCTTGTGGAATTTAAGTCTTTTTTTCAAGTATCACCATGCAGTGCCATAATTTGCATAGGATTCATAAAGGAAACAAAAAGATCTAGCATACAGTTGCCTTAACCGTACCACGTCCAAGCACCATTCTGCCAGGATTGCAATTTATTGGTAAAAAATGAAAATCCATCTTCATTTCAAACAACACAAGTGAAGGTGTTTCCTTACTATGCAAGCCTTGCCAGGTGGAGACCAGACGCAGAGGTAGTCTTCTGAACTCTAGAGAGCTACAACTTGTGCTTAGAACTCTTCTGATCCTCATTCATCACCGAAACAGAGAGTCATCTCTCTCAATAAGTGAGTCAACACATTGACGGGTCAGTCTGGAAAACCTCCTGAAAAAGGAAGAGTGACATTTCTTACTTTGCAAACTGTTGACTGCAGGGAGGAAAATGGAAAATGTAGATGTGAGAAATTCATTTTTACTAGCATTAATGGAAAGATAACAGCAAATTACAAATACTAACTTTTCTAAATTAGGCATTTAAGGGCTGATACACAAATGTTCTAGCCATCATATTTTGCTGCTACCATCTACAATAGCACTTAAGGAGCCTGTCCTGCTCCAAAGCCACCTAGATGTGAGGCAAAGGGCCAGGGGTAGCCCAGGGAGGGTGACTTTGCAGTGCCGGTGAGGTGCTGTGTGTTGAAATAAGCCCTTTTCAGAGCAAAAGTATTTATGACATCTGTAATAAGGAACAAGCATACCACGGGCCGGGAGAGAGTCTGAGAGACGTTCCCGAGCCAGGCGGGTCAGGGCAGCACGGCAGGGAAGGCAGGGTTGGAGGCACAGGTAGGGTTAGGGACAGACAGGGTTGGGGAGAGAGGCAGGGTTGGGGGATAGGCAGGGT